TAAGTAGAAGGAGTACACTCTAAAATAATGATAACAGTACAGTGTAGTAAATACATAAACCAGCAACATAGTTGTTTATTATTATCATTATCAAATATTGTGTACTGTGTATAATTACGTGTGCCAGACTCTCATATGACTGGCAGCACAGTAGGTTTGTTTACACCAACATATCATAAACGTGAGCAATGCATTGCGATATGACATCATGACAGCTACAACATCACTAGGCAATAAGGATTTTCCAACTTCATGTTAATCTTATGGGATCGCGGTTATATATGTGGTCTGCCATTGACCAAAATGTTATGAGGTGCATGACTGTAGTTGTCACAGATACAGAGGCTCTAAGGACATATACCAGATATACTAGATCGGGCACCTGTGGGGGAACAGGAATAGGGAAGGAAGGGGAGAAAAGAGTACAATAAAGAAATATATAAACCTATACAACCCGACTGGCACGGATTAATGATGATAATTGTGCTGTGCACTGGCAAATACAGCAGAAAAATACAAGAATGAAAGTTAATAAAAAACAAAAAGCAAAAGACAAAAAGAAATCAGGCACTGATTTCAGGATAACCCATGGAAACCTCATAACTAAGCTTTCTGACTTAATTTTAGACAATCCATAACCCATCAGTCACAGAGAGTAGTTTCAACTAGTAGATCAAGATCAGGGGAACCCAAAGGGAATGTGTTCATTTCTTCAGTGGTCTGTGGGTAATGTGACATTTTCCTTCTTCACAGAAAATCTGTGTGCACTTGCTGCCAGCACAGGGCCATCTAGTTGGCCTTGGCTGCTGGGCATTGGTCGTGAGGGTTGCCTCACCCTCAAGGCAGCCTTCTTCTCCACGATGGCTGAAGCACCTGGAACAAGGTGCCACTGCACTGAGACACCGAGTCAGGCATTGAGCCAAGCCCTCGCAGAACTCTGTGATGTGAAAATGAGACGAGGGAGGAGAACTTGTCTTTTAGCCAAGACATTTTACAAAATGTAGGCAATACCATGTCCTCAGAGACAAGGAGCATTAAGTAGGTTTTTGATGATCCTTTTCATTTTTAAAGACCACAAAACATTAAAACATTTAAAAATTATAGATAATGTTGAAACATGGCAGGGTGTTACAAATGTCAAGTCATAAATATCCCCCAAGAGAATTCTACTGTGTGAGCATGTTTAGATTCACTAACGGTCTTCTCTTTTAGTTTCTAGACAGGGCAGGAACCAAGTATCTGTAAGAATCAGCACAGTTTAGCCTTTCCTATTGGTTGCAGTTGTGTTCGTGCATATGCGTGTGCGTGTGTGTGCATGCACATGTGTGCTCACACATCTGCTTCACCTCTTCAAGTCTCAGTGTTCCATCCTTCTTAGGTGGGATTTTTGAGCATTGCCTTTACATTGGCCTGAAATAAGTTTGTTGGAGTGGTGGCCTCGTGTAG